CCAGCACCAATGGCACTAAAATTAAAGCAACTAAAGTTACGGTCATCAATATCAGTATTGTGCTATAAATTGCTATATGTTTATTTATATATTCCTGTATTACATCCCTTTCTGCTAGATTTGCATTTTTACTGTAATTTTCCATCTTCGAAATTACATTCTGCAATGTTATTAACAATTATTTTAATCCATTATATTGTTGTTTAACTTTATGTGCATAAAATAATTTTGTTTAACTGAGAAATAAAAAGTATAATAAAGAAGTATATAAAAAAAATTTTGTATTTCTTATATAAGTATTTTATTTTAAATTTAACTGTAATGGAATATAACCCGTTATATTTAATACCTAAAGTTTTAGACTGAAATTTCTTTAAAAAAGTATAATTGCGCGAAATAACGAGATGTGCAATGATTAAAGCATACTCTCTTGATACATTTGCTATTAAGAGCAGTAGCAGTTTTACAATTAAAAAGGTGCGGGGGCTATATGAATATAATATTTATCTCTTCTCGATATAAGTACCAACAACGTGCTTGTATGCAGTTATTAGAAAGAGAACGCAAAATGTTCTTTCCATTGTCTTCATTGCAAAGAAAAAGATTTATAATATATTATAAATGTTGATTTTGAGACATTTTGAATGTCTTCGAAAGATATGTTACAATAAAGCGTAGGTGATTTTCGGGAGTGCGGTCTTAAATGTTAAAAGATGATATCAATCTTGAAATAAACTTGCAATCTCTATATTTATTAATTAATATAATATTTCAATATTTTTGAACTCTTCAACTTTTATTTGATGCATACATATATTTAATTATTATGACATTTTTAATTATTAATATAATCAAAATCAATAATAAAAATGTAATCTTCAAGTATTGTTAAAGATAATTACACGAACTATCAAGAAAAACTATATATATGAAATGTTACAAATCTATTACGCATGCAATATCGCTTGTAATGCCATAAAATATGAGAAAGTAGCGTAAAGAACCTAGAAATAAAAAGAAACAATAATTTTATAAATGTACGTTAATAAGAATGTCACAATTGATATTAACACTTACCCTTCCGCAAAATCTTATTGAAATTACGGGTATAAAATTAGTGCCGCAAATTACAACTGGTTTCTGACACCTTTGAATAATCATAAAGATTGTTCGACGTACATTTGGTGATGCATTAGTCCATGGAGAATCATAAATTTGCCAAGAAATATTGTAAGCCTATAAGAGAAAAGTTATAAAAATTTATCAGCGCTTCACTTGCTTTTTCCAAGTTAGACGGAACGAAAAATTAATGAATTTGTTTTCATAATTTAATTATAAAATAAAGTATATTTTAGTTTCGGATACATAAGCTTGAATAGATTTTGCCTTTTGAAATATTTCATTTGTTTAATGTATCATATTTTATTAATACAATATATAATCCATTATATATTATACTCTATCTCTTTCTAAAACAAACGTCTTATATCTCTATTGTTTTTATGAAAAAATGAAAATATTTGTTTTACTAGTACGATTTATATTACATAAGATTAAAAGATTAACCATATTGGTTACTGCCTGCGCCGACCAGCAGCAAACGTAGAGCCTCCAAATTGCAATAGAAGTCAGCATCAGAAACGAGCTTATCTCCACGGTAGGCGCATTCTGTAATTTACATAAAAATTAAAATAGTATACCAGATTTTATGATAATTAAAATATAAATTACAGGTCAAATGCAAAAAACACTTTAATTAATCAATGTATATATTACATTCAACATTTGAAATACACCTTTATATAAATCTTGAAATATAACTTAATTTAATTTGTTTTAAATCGGGTTTATTTATATACATAAATGTAATATAACTTCATTTAAGTTAATAACAAAAAAATTAATGTAGCTTCTTTTTCCCTTTCCCACAATGATTTTAATCTTGACATATATTTTTAATGATTTTGAATAATGATAATGGTAATGATTTACTATGATTAATGGTAATGGTTGGAAAACATTTCGAAAGATTTTAACCGTTGATGGTTTATTAAAAAATTATTGATAAATAAAAGTTCCGCTATTTGATTATAAGATATTTTCTAATTTAAGAATATATTAAATACTGATTACTCACATTTGAAACCACCAAACTGCAAGTGATTACGTATATAGAAACAACAATCGTCATTTTGAGAAGTATATAACTAGCAATACAATTAATTTCCCGTACGTAACTAAATTAAAAAATTATAAAATAACATAATTTATAAATAATAATGACATGTTAATTAAACTATACTGTAATATATATTTTTCTTACGATACAATAAAATATTTTAAAAAAAGCATTATAAAATAATGTTAACTTACTTGAATATATTTTGATACAATATAATGGAGGCTCGGAGTTTATTAATAGTTAATATAGAGAGAGAACGCATTTGAATACCCAACAAATTTAATTTATAGGTAGAGTGCCACATTGTAGAGATTATCATCAAGTCGAGGATTATCGTAACTGATGCAAATGTGATTGTAAATATATGATGAATGTAAGCCGCGTAATAAATCCAAGAAGCTTTGGATATCGGAAAAGAATACACAACATTAAGCGGTAAAAGTCTATCCGTTATCATTGGCGTAAGAATAAATATACTCGCAGCAATAATATATATTAACGCTAAAGAAAAGTATTTCATACATATGTGATGCATAAATTTCAACCATACAGTTTTTTCGTATGGCGTCCATATTTTATTAGGTTGCTCTATCTCGGACAATAATTTCTGCAAAAACCACAGATTACATTGTAGCTCAAATTGTACATCAATATAAATTCAACACACAAAGAATGCATGCAAAATTGTATGAATGAGTATTTCATCTTTGTAATATACAGGATGATAAAAAAGTAACGATACGTTCCTCATATTTTGAAGAGACGTTCCGTTACTTTTTCTTCATCCTATATAAGTATTATTTGAATAACATAATGTAAATTTATGTATTTGTGTAAAAAAATATTTTTTTTATTTTGAAAATGAGAAAATTATGATCAAAAATGTAAAATTTTAAATTTTATTTATTTATTTTTTTTTTGTTTTATAAAAACATTCTCACTTTATCCCTAATTGAGTTTTATTATAAATGAGAAATAAAAATGAGAAATAAACTAAGTAAAATTAAGTTGCAAGGGATATTAACCTGCAATCGTTTTCTATGCATTCTACAATAAAAAAGGTTAAATATTACTTCCGTGTTATATATCAGTTCCACCAATGTTTTCATTGTATTGATGAAATCTTCTCGATATACAGCTACACTTTTAGCCATTAAATAATATAGAGTTATCATATTTAGCGTATACATAAACCACAAAACATTATAAGAAAAAGTTTTAAATTTGCCAGCTTTAGAATCTAATGGCCACACAGTAGTAAACAACCCGCATATGTGTAACACATGTAATAGTTTGTCGTATTCCATGAAGAGATACTTGCAATATCTAGTATTCCACACAATAAAACTCTGTACTAAATTATGCACGATACAACATATAGAAATAATTGAGAAAATATTACAATTTTGATTTAGCAGGATTTACATAAATACTATTTTTGTAAATCGCTTCTAAAAAAAAAATTTCACAAAGAAATGCACGCAATATACGATAGCGTATTGGCAATAAAGTATTTGTATGTTATATGTGTGTGTATATATATATGTATGTGTAGATAATGAACCAACTAGATTATCATTGATGTTACTTAATGGAGCAATTACTTTAACGAGCATGAGAAGAAAAGCGTGTATTTATGACAGTTATTATGTCAAACAATTAATGGGCATAGTCATTTACTTTACGATTCGCATTAATTCTGTTTTATTATGATAGTTTGCAATTATTATAAAAGTAACATCAATTTAATTCATCATTTAAAACGTTTTTCATATTCTTCATCGTTTACGTTAATCTTTTAAAAAAAAAGTCAATAATAAGAAAGAATAAGCAATTTATATTATTAGACATATATGTATCAAAAATTAATACTTACAATTGTATATACTTTAAGAATAATATTTTTATACGTAATATATGTAGAGAGAGAAAGAGAGAGAGAGAGAGGGAGAGAAAGCTAATAACATACTAATATACTTAAAGTTTTCACTATTTTGAGAAAATAAGATTTTTTTAAATGTTGTTACGTCCAAACCCGAAGGGTCTGAATAGAAGAAGAAAGGAGTCGTAAGACTAAATAAGCAATTAATTTTTAAGAGAACATTTGACGAATAAAAAAGAGGAAAAGAAGGAGATTTGAAAACTAGATCAGGAGTGTCTCATTTATAATCTACCGTGTGTTCTAAGCCAAGTTCGAACTTCGAGAAAATCGGTATTTATTCAACTCAGGTCATCCTTAAAGACCGAATCTAATAAAACCCGAGCCAGGACCCTTCGAGTTCTTTTATTCCGACGATGCCGATTATGTTTACTCCATGATTTTAATTGTTTGCGAGACAGAATTTCCATTAAGAACATAAAATATTAAAATTAAATAAACTATTAAACAATTTTCTTGCATCGTGAAAAACTGTTCTTAGAGTTCTGGGTCACAATATATTACAAGAGGAAAAGAGAAAATATTGATATTAGTTATACCCCCCAAATCATGATAATTATAATAATAGAAATAATAATTATTATTATTATGAGAGAAAAAATAATTATGGATTTTTTTAGAGAGATAGGGGAGAGTTATATTCGGGAAACAAAGGGAAAAAAGAAATGAGTCTTGGCTCGTAGAATTTTATATACATATACATATATATATATTTCTCATTTTATTTTCCATACTTATATATATAAGTATGAGAAATAAAACGAGAAATAAAAAAAGACATATATACTAATAAAATTATAAATATTCAGTTTATTATCAATTTCTAATGTTGCACATTTGTTATAATTCAAAAATAGATACAGATTATACAATATATGATGTAACATGACAAAATATTCTTTTATAACATACATAATAAACGTATTCATTCATATGGAATTTTTAATGATACGTAAAGACAAATATGTACTTATGGAAGAATATTTTGTCGTATCATGTCACTATAGCATAATATGAATTCAATGTTAAATACTAACAGTGTACACATTAAATATTTACAGTACTATATATTTTCTTTACATTAAAAAAGCATAATACGTACAATCTATCATATTCCTAGTCCATCTTCTACGGCAAAAATTACTCGAAAAGTTGTCAAATAGGAAAACGTAGTTGATAAATACTGTCAAATATAAATATTTTGTTTTAATTATTATATATATGTCATTAAAATGATTATAAATTACAATTATAAATTATTTTAAATTTAGATGAATATACGTATTTTAAATCATTTATATTAAACCATTTACTTTAAATGTGCGTACAAAAGCATATACTAATATACTCAAGAAAAGCATTAATTAATATTACAGAAGAGATTCCGATAATTTTGGCGACACAACATAATGTTTTCTGAAAGTAATTCAAATGCTGAGATTGATAATAAAAACAAAAAATCGCTGCAACTATTTATTTTAAAATTATTAATAAAAGGGAGGAAAAATAGTAGAAAATCAAATAAAACCAAAATTAGCTGTTCATATAATATTATTTTTTATTTATATTATATATAATTAGCAATTTAATAAAGCAAAGATTTGTACGTGCATGTTAAACTTATTTAAATAAGTTTATTATAATTAATTTAGATTTATACAGTTTCTAAAAATACATATAGAATAATTAATTTCTCACTATGCATAAATGATATAATTTGATCTAAGTAACAAATATTTCTCTATACAAAATTGTATTATTTTTTTGTAATATATATAATAATACTTATGATTCGAAAACAAAATACTACGCTTTAAGAATTTTTGTATTATGTTTGGCTGCATAGAAATGGCTTGAAATATTTGTTAAATTATATCGCCAAAGTTATCGGGATTGTGCCACAATAAATTATCCATGAGAGTTGTAGGATGCGATACGACTTACAGAAGCATAGTAATTAAGTGAAAGAGTCGGTAGCATGCATGGTACAGTTACAGATACTGGCTGCTGGCATCGCAATGTAATGTATAATAAGTCTTTTTGTAAAGACACTTCTTTCTTATACCATAATGATTCGTATACAGCATGGCCAATGTTATTACTCTGAAATATTAAAATAAAATTACATCTTGATTATAATGTTATAAAAACGCTTTTATTTTAAATTTGAATGAAGATAAGAGTCAACGGCATAACATATGTGCTTCTGTATAATACTGATCATTATATTTATCAACATTTCATATAATAAAGATTATGCATATTTATATATATTATTCAAAATTTGTATATCTTTTATGTTTTGCTGCAGATTTTTTATATCAATTTTATTATGCATATATCAATTTCTTTTGAATTTTTCATATCCTACCATACTTAAAACATAATCAGCTGGCCACGCGCAAACAAAAACTTCTATAAGTGAAGATGCACCAACAGTCAAAAATTGGGCCTTTATAGTTAATGGTGGTCGCTGTACAAAATAATATAATATCAATAATACAGTTGTGCTAACGCAATATAAAAGAATTAAAATTATTAAATTCACACAATATAAGAAGGAAAAAGAGAAAATTATTTAGTTTCCATAAAGAATTGAAATCTAATAAGCCAATTTTTATATTCGTAAATAAATTATGTATATATATAATAAAAGAATTAAAATTATTAAATTCACACAATATAAGAAGGAAAAAGAGAAAATTATTTAGTTTCCATAAAGAATTGAAATCTAATAAGCCAATTTTTATATTCGTAAATAAATTATATATATATGTTATATGTATAAATTTTATTATTAATTAAATAAATATACGTGGTACATGTTTCTACAATGAAAAGCTCGCATCTTAGCTTCTATCTCTTCAATCAGATTTTTGCGTGAAACAATATTTTTAATATCATGTACGCAGAATACGATAAATAAATGAAATAGATATAACTCACACTCAAAAAGGTAAGACCGCTGAATACTACTGCTACAGTACTAAATCCTATTGATGACAATGCTATATATCGGACCGTCATGGTAACATCTTTCGCATATCTGTAATCGACTTTCAATCTCTTCATTTTTATTTTGAAATTGGCAATAAACAAGAGAGATATAAAACAGTGCGACATTTTATATTTTGAAATAAAGAGAAATTTTGAGACAGATAATTAATTTTTACTATTATTGACGCGTCATCCGTTATTTTTAAAACTTTTAGTCTCTCTCACTGCAGTCATATTGAATTACAAACTTAGAAATATGATAATTTATTCTGTCATAATATTTTATATCTTACCGTAAGAGCCGTTGATGCATTTGTATACAGATTTTAAACTCTGAGAAACTTCTAACTTTGCGAAATTTGTGAGATAAAATTTCAAATCTTGCCGCTACAAACCAAAGTAGAACAGCTACAAAAACATTGCTGCATACTTGTACATAACTTTGATATACGACCATCGCATGATGCAGATAAATGATAGTTTTTAACGGTTGTTGGCCCACATAAAATGGGTACTCTACTTCAATTGGAAAGGGCTGAGGTAGCAATAGTGGACCAAAAATAATTGCGACAGCAGTTATAGTTATCCAGCATAATGTTATTCCATAAAATAATTTGCATTTATTAATATATTTTTGAAATATATCCTTCTCTTCTGGTTTCGCTTGTTGAATATAATTTTCCATTTCGTATATTACAACCTGCACAAATATACATATAATATGAAAGATGTGACATAAAGATGCTTTTATCTACGCATCAGCCAGATGCATTATAATGATAATATATTTATCCATCACAATGATTTATACAGGATATCTCTAGATAAATGCCGTTTAAAATAATTGTTAAACGGTAGGAGAGATATAAGAAACTTTTTTTACTATTTTTTAAAATCTTATAATGCAAAAGAAATTAATTTTTCAAGGTTATATCAAAATTATTCTGCTTCTTAAACGAAACTTTATATTTCTATTTCATTACCATAAAAGCCTAGAAAAAAAACATTTTTAACAGATTCATTAGCCTTGAAATCCAAGATCACATAGGAGAGGAGAAATTATTGAAACAGATGTGTGAGAATCTTTATTATACATTATTTATTTATTTTATTTAGTTTTGTGAAAAATAATATCATAAAATGTATGTGTTCTTTAATATAGTTTTATTCAAAGATAGGGCAATTTTAAAAACAATAATAGAATCAATCATCATAATATGCATTATTGAGTTGAAAAATGACAAATACTGATTGACACAAGTAAATCTCTCTCATTAAAATATAGTATTCTATTTTAAAAATAGAAAATAACTTGGATATAACCATGAAAAATTTAGAAAAAACATTTTTTACATTATCAAATTTTAAAAAATAATAAAAAATATCTTTTATACGTTATCTCAAAATGTTTAGCAATTATTTTAAACGGCACTTATCTTATTGTTAGACACATCCTTTATACACACATGTACATACATATTTTTTTTATCTTTCTTATATGATCTTTATTTTTTAAACCTTCGATAAATTGAAGTTTGCACAAATGTAAAATAGTTTAGTTTAAAATAATTACTTTTGTTGTAGATAAAAAAGTCTCTAAAATATATTAAGATAATATTATATATCTATATAATTAATTAAATATGATAAATATTATATCTTCTATATACGCTGTTGTATTAAGCTGCTATTATTGCCACGCACATGCGCAAGAAAGTCGATTTGCCTAACAACAGCTGCAAGTACACGACAATACGTTATACTTCGCATGCCGTGCGTCTCCCACAGTAGTAATCCAGTGTTTACACTTCACAGCATGTGTTTTTCTCAGCGCCCAGTCGCTAACAGACGCTGGGTATGGAAGCCGGGCATAAAAAAAGGTAAGTTTCAAGCTTTGGTAATAAAAGATAAAACGTAGAAAAAATAGATATAGAAAAACAGTCTACAAGTCTAGAAGAAAATATGAAGCATTGAAAACAGAGGTGAAATTAATGAAGTAAAAATTTTATCGCAAACTTTTTATTTGTATCCCTTATAAGATTTAAAATGACCAAGTCAATCTTGATTGATTTTGAATAGTTAAATTACGTAATATTAAACTCTTTGAAATACAAAAAAATAGATATAAACGATTGAAAAAATAGGTATAAATAGGATTCTCTTTCGAGTGCTTTTGATCGTTCCAATTTTCTCATTATCAAAAAAATATACCTCTGATCCATAAAAAAAAAATTAGCACTGATTAATCTTTTTGAAAGAAACGATCAAGTTTATTTTCTAAATTGTAACAAGCTGCAAAATACTATAGTTTTGAATATTTTGAGACAACGAACGAAACGAAATATAGTACATGCGATTCTTTTCGAAAGAACAGAACTTAACAGAATTGAAATATTTTTAAATCACAGGTTTTAACCACCGTATATATTTTTTACTATATATTAACTGCCTACTGAAAAATCTCGCTAAATGCATTTTAGCATATGAGTTCATTTTTTGATGATGTTTCTTTATTTTAGGAAAATTTTATCATAAAAATATAGTTTCATGTTTTGCATAATGACAAAAGTTTGATATTTACAACACAATAGATCAAGAGATCTGAAAAAATCGCCAAGAGAGAAATTTTATACATCAAATAATATTTATATATAGTATTTTTTATTATCATCTCATTCGTTCGTTATCTTAAATTAAAATAATTATCTGCAAAATATTATTCCACGTGTGATAAGCTGTTATTCTTTCAAAATGTGTTTTCAAAATGTGTTTTAATATGTTTTTATTCTATTTCAACAAAATTCAGATCTTTTATTGTATTTGTTACGAATAGTTAAGTTATGAATAGACGTAATAAATAAAAAATGGATTAATATAACATTATATTGATACAACAAAATATAAACTTTTCTCGTATCCAATTATCTATATTGATACCTTCTATAATCCGAGCATATAAATAAAAGTTCTTGATCTAATTATATTATTATCCTCTTATTTTCCTTTTTCCTCTTCTCCCCTTTCCTTGCCCCTCTCTCCCCTTCACACTTCTTTTTTTCTCTTCCTTTTTCTTTGTTTTTTTCTATTCTATCATTATATCTTATCTAAAAATTTATAAACTTACAATTAGTACTATAAGATATTTAGTAACATCGTTAGAAAGAGTAAATGATATTTATATGAAAAATCATTTCTTAACGCTTTTTAATTCTCTGATGCTACATACGAGATTAGAAATTTTATATATCCGAAATTAATTTATACATAAGCGCAATTATTATATTTCTAGTAACTATATAGTCATGATTGTAGTAATTACAAAAATATATTAGTAAATAATATTTAACATTCACACACACACACACACACACACATATAATTTTATAATTTTATCTTTTATATACATCTTTCTAATAATTTCGCAAATTATGATTTCTACGAAGTAATTATAAGCATTGTATATACATATACATATACAGGGTGTCCGGTAAAGATTGTGCCAACGCTCGTGAGCGGCTAGAGCACAGTAAACTGAACAGAAAAGTCCTGTAACATTTTTTTATATAACGCTTAATAAAGGAGTTATTATTGAGTAAAATCTAGTCATTTAGCGCCGATTTTTAGCCGGACGCACGTCGGTGAGCCGCCCGCCTGATAGTATGCGGCGGCGCACACTTCACAGCGCGGGGCTCACTGACGTGCGCCCGGCTAAAGGTTGGCGCTGATTGGCCAGAATTTACTCAATAATAATTCCTTTATTACGCGTTATATAAAAAAATGTTACAGGACTTTTCTGTTCAGATTACTGTGCTCTACCCGCTCACGAGCGTTGGCACAATCTTTACCGGACACCCTGTATATGGATGTTATGTGTGTACGTCACATATTTTATTACATACCTGATATACACTTTTATTTGTATGTTTTTTACGATTTTCAATCTTTCGTGTATTACACACACACACACACACACACACACACACACACACACACACACACACACACACACACACACACACACACACACACACACACACACACACACACACACACACACACACACACACACACACACACACACACACACACACACACACACACACACACACACACACACACACACACACACACACACACACACACACACACACACACACACACACACACACACACACACACACACACACACACACACACACACACACACACACACACACACACACACACACACACACACACACACACACACACACACACACACACACACACACACACACACACACACACACACACACACACACACACACACACACACACACACACACACACACACACACACACACACACACACACACACACACACACACACACACACACACACACACACACACACACACACACACACACACACACACACACACACACACACACACACACACACACACACACACACACACACACACACACACACACACACACACACACACACACACACACACACACACACACACACACACACACACACACACACACACACACACACACACACACACACACACACACACACACACACACACACACACACACACACACACACACACACACACACACACACACACACACACACACACACACACACACACACACACACACACACACACACACACACACACACACACACACACACACACACACACACACACACACACACACACACACACACACACACACACACACACACACACACACACACACACACACACACACACACACACACACACACACACACACACACACACACACACACACACACACACACACACACACACACACACACACACACACACACACACACACACACACACACACACACACACACACACACACACACACACACACACACACACACACACACACACACACACACACACACACACACACACACACACACACACACACACACACACACACACACACACACACACACACACACACACACACACACACACACACACACACACACACACACACACACACACACACACACACACACACACACACACACACACACACACACACACACACACACACACACACACACACACACACACACACACACACACACACACACACACACACACACACACACACACACACACACACACACACACACACACACACACACACACACACACACACACACACACACACACACACACACACACACACACACACACACACACACACACACACACACACACACACACACACACACACACACACACACACACACACACACACACACACACACACACACACACACACACACACACACACACACACACACACACACACACACACACACACACACACACACACACACACACACACACACACACACACACACACACACACACACACACACACACACACACACACACACACACACACACACACACACACACACACACACACACACACACACACACACACACACACACACACACACACACACACACACACACACACACACACACACACACACACACACACACACACACACACACACACACACACACACACACACACACACACACACACACACACACACACACACACACACACACACACACACACACACACACACACACACACACACACACACACACACACACACACACACACACACACACACACACACACACACACACACACACACACACACACACACACACACACACACACACACACACACACACACACACACACACACACACACACACACACACACACACACACACACACACACA